AATAATAATAATAAAACAATAATAAAAATAAATAAATAAGTAAGAAGAGTGTCCAGGTATGTATGAGTAGATTATTATTGCACAGTGAGTGGCTGACACTCCTTTCCGAATGAGGAGTTGTAGAGTGTGTTGGAGTTTGTGCTCATCAGTTCACCTTGTCTGTGCGTCCGTCAACGAGTCCGCCTGTCGACACAAACCGTGCGGATGAACTGCGGCGGGCTTATTGGCTGCACCACCACATACAACATGTAATAGACGGAGAATAATCGGCTCAGAGGTCACACCTTCACAAACTGTCACTGCGTTAGTTCAGTAACAGTCAAAATACGACATAATCAATACAGTTGAGTTATTTTAAACAGGAAACTGTGAGCTTGTTCTGAATGAATGACGAACAGTGGAACAACAGAGAGGTGTAGAGGTGTTTAGTGTGGTCTGCTGGGGGTCTAAAGGTCCAGCGGGGCTTTAACACAGTGAACAGATGGAGATTTAGTCCTGACAGTTTCTTAAGTTTGACTCCAACGTTAACCCAGTCTTAGATTACGTCTCCATTTGCACACCAAGAAGATTGTGAGTTCGTAAAGAAAAAGAAAAGAAACTTGAAAAGAACGACTCTTATCCACGAATATCAGCATCAAGTGCGATTTATCTGACTGGAATAAGTTTAGAGAAGCTGTTAATTCCCCTCATTACGTCCATCCTTAGCCCTTAATGCAGCGCTGTTCTCTAACTGCACAGACACTAATCTAGTGTAGTGCGTAATGGGGCTTTTGTTTTGGCGTTAAGACGTTCACTTTGTGAGTTTTAACGTAGTTTAACGCCAAAGGAGACGTGTTGATATTTAAAGCTTCGCAGCAGAAATGGGGAAAAAAGCCTCGATCACTTATTTACACATTGAAAAACAAGTCTTTCTGTTAGTTATTGGAGAGTTGCTTGTGATAGTCGTTGCCTTATACTGGTTCTGTGTTTTCTGAATTTCTTTTTGCTGCGTTGACGAACTAGCCCTGCCCCAAAGATCATGTTGAGGAAGAGGGGAATTATCTTTTTAGCCTTTCTCCAGTCCCATGACAGGTTACAAAGAAGTCCATTCACAAGTCCAATCGCCTCTCTTCTCCCCCTCCTCATATCCAATGTCACGGCTCTTTGTGTCTCTTGTGCGCCGCATTAAGTCCGCGAGCTTATCGTGATTCTAATGATCGCTTTTTTTTTTTGAGATTTGTCAGGTCAGCTACACCTGCTGAAGAGAGGAACCAGGTGAGCAGCGACTGTAACGTTCCTGGCGTTGCTTTTCCCTTTGTTGAAACAGGGAACAAATCCTCCGTGGGTGTGTCCCCGTCAGACGTCGCAGAGCAGGTTTTAAGCTCGTTGTTCCCAGTATTATTACCCAACAGGTACACTTGATAAGTTACAGTACGGGTTTCCAACTGTGACGCTACCAGTCGTGAGTCGGGTTCTGCGAGAGAAGGGGAAATGCAAACGGTAGATATCTGTTGTGTAAGTAAAAGGGAAGTTTATGTGCATGATAAATAGGAAGGGTGACTGTGCAATCTCTTTATTCCCCAGCTGTCACCAGTACCCCTCGCTGTGTGCTCACAGATCTGTGGCTAAAAGGCAGATTAGGGCTTCAGCCGGCCGTGAAAATGCCCCTCAGACCTCAGCTTTAACCCCCCTTCATACACGTTAGAGCGTCTGCTTCCTCCGGGATCTGCTTTTCTGACATTCAGGTCTCTTTCGGAGCTCATAAATACTCTGATAAAAAGTCTCTTGTGTTTATTATGAAGCCCCTTCACTCAGTTCTTGCTCACAGTGAATTGGTCCGAAGCTTGAATTGTCAAGTGTTTTATTTTATGTGTCTTTTTGTTTTATACGGCTTTTTTTTATTATCTTTAAGAAGATTGAAAAAATGGCTCGGTCTAATTTAGAATAAATGTCGCTCCACCCTAATTAAAGCGTGAGAGATTTAAAGATTTAAAGCCAAACGTTTGGTGCTTTGGTTTTAAAAATCTAGGTTATATACACTTCACATTGTGTCCTTACTGTTGAGCTCTGCAGTCCTCAGTTTCCAGTTAACTCCACAGCAGAGCCCTGGTTTGTCTCTCCCCAGCGACTGGCTGAACTAGGCTAGGACCAAAGATGAATTACACCTGCCACCGGCCTCTCTGCGGTAAAGCCACATCGTTCCTCTGGCTCAGCTCTTTCTCACTATTCTGCCTTTCTTTACAGTTACAATTCACCAAGTTTAAAAGCATCAAAAGTCTGATTTATCACGTGAATGTTTTTGTTTTCATCTCTCAGGCCAGACTGTAATATATCCGCACTGTAAAGATCCACATACATGAGAAAAACAGAAGTCAAGTTGCAAGAAAAAAACACAACTTTTGTAATCCCACAACCCCCACCTCACAAACACACAAACACACACACACACACACACACAGAGGGTTGTATCACAGTGGAAAGTGAAAGAGACCCAGCGCTGGTGAGGCCATGAAGAAACAGCAGCGTGAGAGATCTGAGATTCTTCTTTTATGCGAGCACATTCAGCAGGTTTCTTTGTCTGAGCTGATGACCAGCTGGTCTCACATCCTGCCTGCCCCCTCCCCCAATCTGGAGGGACGGAGGGGTAACGGGAGGT